CGAAGGCAGTCGCTTAACCAACTGAGCCACCCAGGCGCCCCTCAAATAAATAAAATCTTAAAAAAAAAAAAAAAAATAGAACTAAGACTGAGAATTTTACATCTTTGAATCAAAATAACACCGGTTGTTTTCTAATGTTTTCAACTATTCTACCAAATTCTAAACTATGTTAACTAAGCAAACTTTTACTGAGTAGTTAATATATGGAAGGAACACTATTGGGTCTTGTATGTAGTTACAAAGTTGCATCAAACACAGATCCTGTCTCCAGGGCACTTGCAATCTGAGGGAAGGATAAGATCTTCCCTGGGGGTAACCATGATGCAAAGGGAGGAGGAGAGTAAAAGGTAGGGATGCTTAGGGGACAGGGAGGTGAATCACAGCTGGGCCCTCAGAAAGGATGCCAGGAAGAGTTTTATTTGCTTCTCTCATTTAAATAATTTTGAGGAGAGGCGGAAGAACAAGGACATGCAAAAGGACAGAGATGGGAAGGTACAGGCATGCCCAGGAGATGCTGATGAGCTCCTTAGAACACGTGACCGTAAACGTTGTTTTTAACTAATTTTATCCATTCCTTGCAGAACTTAAACTGTGGGGAGTGCCCATCTAAAACTTGAACATAAGTTCCTTCCCAGTTATCTCTGGGCAATAGAATTAGGGCTAAAAAGGGGATTGGTTTCACCTTTTATTTTATAAAATGATCATAAACATGATAATGGAAGATTATAAAATGAATCGGAAAGAAGTTCTGTCTCTTATCCACAGAAACACTGCTCCACAGAGCATGACCTGAGCTGAAAAAGGTGCGGTTCAGACCTAGGTCTCGCTGACTCCACGAGCTCTGCTTCTCCACTGTGCCATCTTGCACCCCCACAGTTAAAGATCCAGAGAATGCCAAACGTAAAACAGCCTGTTCAAAGGACGTAAAAGCTGTCAACTCGGAATTTTCAGCATACTTTCAGATTTTAAAAATACACTGAATGAAAATTCCCATCAAGAATTTTATACCTTCTAGAAATTAATAACCTATTTAAATATCAGTAAGCTCCTTGAGTGCCTGGGCCAGGTATTATATATTATTCATATTTATTCATAACACTGTCACATGATTTGCATTCAATAAACATTTAAGTCAAAGAATTTTAGAAATGAAAATCTTCAGCAGCATTCAATCCAGAGCTCTCACTACGCTATTCAATAAAAAACGGGGTTAGGAGAGATGATACAACTTGCCTGAGATCTCACCAGTACTAGAAGATCTAAAGTATCACCCAGGTCTCTTCTCCCATACCTGTATAGTTACGCCACCCTTTAGGTGACCAGTGATCCACAGGTAGACTCTCTGAGGAATTTTTAAATTAATGATTATGGGCTGCTCATTCATGATGGACTGTTTAATAGAAAATGCAGGCTGCTCTTCATTGAAATCATAGATAGAGCCATCCCTACCTAATTGTGAGAAAAATAGAAACATGCAGTATTATGTTTTTTATAAATCCATCATTTTTTAGGTCACCATGGTTATGTATATATGGATAAAATCTTAGAAACAGTAGAAAATCATACTTTGTAAAAGAACAGAAAAAAATCCTTGTGCTTTTAGAAGGCTAGACTCCGTTCTGTACATGTTGTGGTCTGATGGTGATTCTGTTTTCCTAGTGTGGGCAATCTCTCATCCACTGCCACGACGGAAGAATGTTAATGAATTACCAAAAGCCCATTGCTTTTCTGGAAAATTCATAGTTTACCAAACTTTAAAGGAAAAACATCTAGTCAACTAGAAACCACACATGCTTTGATAATATACAGATAAGCCCCATATGTTAGAAATACTCTTTTTGAACTATATATAGTTCTATATAGAGAGAAAAAGAATTGACATTTTAACTCAAATTTCAACCATATTTTTTTATATATGGGGTAAGGGATAGAGAAAAGAACATATCATATACACACTAAAGTATCTGAGGATTTTATATTTAAACTATTTTTCCTATTCACATGACATTTATTTATTTAT